CTGGGGGGGGGGGCTCACATATTTAAGGAGCTGACTAACTACGGCCATAACCCCCCAGCCTGCCCCTTCCTATGTTCATATGAGATTATGCTGATGTGGCACTGGTGGGTGCCAGAGTTCTGCCAGCACCTGGCCCCAGTGTGGCTGTGCTGGGGTGCTCTGCCAGTATATCTCAGGGATATGCTGGCGTAGTGGCCAGTCATCACCCAAGTGATTTCAGCGCTCTCCCCCCCCCCCCCCCGCGTTTCCCCCGGGACTGTGGGTGATGTTTTGAAGGCTTCAGAAAAAAACTAGTTTTAGAACAGGAAACCCAATTATTATTTTGAATGATCTTAAAGTGATCCTGTCCTCAGTATTTGTATGAGGGATGATGCCCTTTTATCATACACCCTTACGGTGCGCAGCCATGCTGCCACCAGTCTGGGTAGCAACAAGTGCCTGTTCCTCCGCCTTCCCTCCCTGGTGGATGAAAGAGGGTGTTGAGGTATTGCTAAGCAGGAGCAGACAAAGCTCTCTCTTGGTTTACTGCGAGCAGATCTCGGACTCCCTTCCCTGTCACCTCGCCGGAAATTGTTCCACTTTAAACTCTGAGTTCTCCGTATAATCATGCTTTTAACTTTTCTGCTTTCCCATGCTTTTAACTTTTCTGCTTTTTAATCAATAAAAGAATTACAATGCCAAGCTAAGCAGAGTTACACCCTTCTCAGCCCACTGACTTCAATAAAGGGTGTACTTCTTCCCCAGATTGCACAGCCAGTTCATTAATTTAAGAGATAAAAGTTCACTCACAATTCTACGGGAAACCCAAGGTTCTTTAACTTATTCCAGATTGGACACAGTTAATAATCTACACTCACACTATAACTCTAATTCTTACATTTTAACTCTGACCTTTCTCCAAGGAGTTCAGGGCAGTGTGCAGTTTCCCACCCCCCGCCCCCCCATTATATTTTTTTGCTGTGTGTGTGTGTCTGTGTCTGTGTGTGTGTGCCCGTGCCTGGAAGTCATGGCGACCTCTGGTGACTTCTACTGGGGCATGGAGGATGTTCAGAGAAGTGGCTTGATAGCCTGCCCCTGCCTCCTGGCCCTGGTATTCCGTGGAGGTCTCTCATCCAAAGACTTGCCAGGGGCAGCCCTGCTTAGCTTCTGAGATCGGGTTTGTCTGGACTATCCAGGTTAGGGGCCTCCCTCCCCATTTTATACTCATAACAGCACTGTGAGATTATCAAGGTCCAGGGTCAACCAGGGCTTCATGGCTGAGGGAGGGTTTGAATGTGGGTGTCCCCTGCCCAATATTCTAACCGGCACACCACATACTGATAACCTTTTTTATGCTGCCCACAAAGATGGAGTAATGATTTAAAATTCTGATTTGGATCTTGTTGGGTTCAGGAATATGCTTAGCCATGTCAAAGTAGAAATCTGTTTCTGCAGCAAATGATAAGCCTTTCGGGCCTTGAAAGAGTGACTTCTGATCTTTGGAGCGCCATTTAATTTTTCTGGTGCAACTTTACGCTATATGGTCTTGATTATCATTGATTATTTGATTAGATATCTTTTTTTAGTTAATAATTTCTTCCAGTTTTCCAAACTAGAGGGCACTAACCTGCACTGAAAGGATACCTTTCATCGGAAATCTTGGGCCACACAACAACTCTCCCAATGAATTACTTCCCAACACGTTATTGTATTTGCAGACCTCAAAACAAAATACTGAGTAGAAGAAGCTATAGCTAGAACACACATTAACAGAATCACATTCTACAGCTCTTACTGGATTTAATTATTTCAAATACAGTTGAGGATGTATACATTTCCTATATTTCCTATTTTAAAAAATCCTTGCACATAGAAAACAGGCATGCCAGAGACTCAGCTTGCAGGTAGCCATGTTAGTGTTCTAAGCACAGGGAGCTGTGTTTATTGTGGGGAGGATTCAAACATGTTCCCTCTCCTAGCATCTGTGATAATATTTACAATGGAAACACCCTTTCTCAAAAGCTAGTTGACTCCAACTCTAGGGTGCGGTGCTCATCTCCATTTCCAAGCCAAAGAGCCAGTGCTGTCCAAAGATTTTTTCTGTGGTCATGTGGCTGGCATGACTAAACACTGAGGCGCACGGAACACTGTTACCTTCCCATCAAAGCGGTACCTATTTATCTACTTGCAATTTCTTGCTTTTCAACTGCTAGGTTGGCAGGAGCTGGGGCCAGAGAGGGGAGTTCACTCTGTCACGCAGCACTAGGGTCTCAAACTGCCAAACTACAGACCTTTCGGTCTGCATCTCAGCATCTTAACCTCTGTGCCACCGCGGCTCCAGGTCACGTTGAGTCATTAGCAAAAAACCAAAACAAAACGAGCAAAAACAACAAAAAAAGCAACTGTAGCCTCACAGAGAGCAAATTTTCAAGCACCATCATCAAATTGGATGTTAAGGAAAATGCCCAGATTTGCTAATATAAATTCTGCTATGTTTTTCTTCACCGCTGCTCTCTGATTAGAGCTGGATTACTACTGGTGTTTACCTTTTCACACAACCCCTGTTCACAAGCTACAGTGAACACACATACAGTCTGTATGTACAGTTGATTGTTCTCTGCATGTCCATTTAGTAATTCTCTTGTTATAGTCGAAGCATGTACAGCTGAAATGTGATACAAACCATGCATTTATCCAGGTACTGGTGTCCAGTTTCATTCATCAAGTGATCACGCTTAGGACTTTCTTACAAAAAGATGTACACATGTATAGGCAGGATGGACGTGTGTCTACTGTAACATGTGAACAGGGCTCCTGAGAACAGCTAGCGCATCTTAGGAACCCTTGGTACAACCTGATAACTTTCACTTTCCATAGTTTAACCTAAATGAAGTTCACATAACACCTTTGTTGCTCTGCCTTCATATGAACTACAGGCAGACTTTTCTACCATGCTAAGGAAATCCCTTTGCCTGCTTCCCCCACTTTTTGGTTTATTTATTTATTTTTAACCTCCAGCTTGATGAAAAGTTGCTCAACTACTGTGTGACATTTTAGTTGGTCCTAATAAAAGCATAGGAGCTGCGGTGGCTCAAGTGGTTAAGATGCTGAACTGCAGGCTGTGGAAGGTCAGTAGTTCAGCAGTTCAAGACCCGAGTTGCCGCATGACGGAGTGAGCTCCCGTCTCTAGTTCCAGCTCCTGCCAACCTAGCAGGTCGAAAGCAAGAAATTGCAAGTAGATAAATAGGGACCACTTCGGTGGGAAGGTACCAGCGTTCCGTGCGCCTTGGTGTTTAGTCATGCCGGCCACATGACCACGGAAAGGTCTTCGGACAGCGCTGGCTCGTCGGCTTTGAAACGGAGATGAGCACCGCAACCCTAGAGTCGGATTCGACTGGCTTTCGAGCAAGGGAACCTTTACCTTTTTAATAAAAGCATTAGCTACTGCTGCATATAGTTTCCATGCATATTAATGTCCACTTAAACTTCCCAAGTGGCAAAAGAGCTGCTAACCATAAGGCAAGCGGACTGCTGTCTGCATGCTCAGTGGAGGGCAGGCTTGTCCTCAGAGCACAGCTCCAGACTCTTCATATGGATGCCATCTCCAGTTGCTCCAAGCTGCTCCTCTCAAGAAAGGAAGTGCTACAGAATAACCATATCTTAAGTGTGCAGACAGAATTCATGACTGCTTGTGCCAGAATCCTCAAATGACTTATCAGAGACAGCCTACTGAAATCTAGGGAAGTGTTTATCTTATCTCTGCAGTACATCCTTGGAGAATTGCAAACTAGTTGAAATGTACTGGACAAAGTTCATCCTGGCAACCTGCCGGCTACACAGTCAAATTAACACAGCAAGCTAGCTCCCTAATTAAGGCTGCCAGCAGCCCCAGAGGAAGATGTCTTGTCCCTTTAACAAAGGCTTAATGAGATATTCACTTTCACACCATGAAAAGCTTCAATGGCCTGTCTCTACACATTAAGCATCTATTAAAAGTACAGTTTTCTTGAAGCCTGTTGGCAAACCTATCCCTGAGTAGGAGAACTATTTTTTCATTCAGCTGCCAAGGGGGAAGTGAGATGAGAAAAAAGGAATTGGATTCCACACATCACTTCAGAGCTGATCTTTCAAGAATTCCCCTTTGTTGCCATATATTTAGCTCATTGTCACTGCAGAACTGGAAAACCAAGAGACACTTCAAAAGTGCAAAGAACCAATATGAGTGCCTTCCAAGATAAATTAGTTGTCCAGTACTAGTCCTTGCCACCCTTATTATGCCTGATAGATCAGCTTTCAAACACAGACTTGTCATGCAGAGCAGTGAGGCTTGAGCTTCTTTAGAAGAAGAAGAAGAAGAAGAAGAAGAGATTGGATTTATACCCTGCCCTTCACTACCCAAGGGAGTCTCAGAGTGGCTTACAAATTCCTTCCCCTTCCCCTCCCCACAACAGACACCCTGTGAGGTAGGTGGGGCTGAGAGAGCTCTGACAGAAACTGCTCTTTTTCAAGAACTATGGCTTGCCCAAGATCATCCAGCAGGTGCAAGTGGAGTGGGAAATCAAACCCAGTTCTCCCAAATTAGAGTCTTAACTACTACGCCAAACTGGCTCTCTACTTATTTACTGGTGCAAATATTTGTTTAATTTCCCTCATCATCAATATAAGAAGCACTGACATATGTTTGCTAATCAAATAAGCACAGCTCCAGTGAAAGCAGTGGCACTACCCTGATTTTTTTTAATCAACAGTCAACTGCATATGTTCTTTTGGACAGCACTATAAAGTGAACTCAGAAACCAGCAGTTTCTTCAGCAAGACCACAGACAAGGTTTTCATAGGCTACAACTTTAACAAGGTAAGGGGCTCAGGTCATCAGCAGTGCCTTGGCCCTCTGGTGTCATGTGACTAATTGCACTTCAGCCAGCCACATCACTGTGTGAATTGCTTTCCAGATAAGTGAAGACATAAATCTCCTGTAGAAAGGTGTGTTCTATGTCAGGTTGGGCAGAAGTCACCTCTGATACTTCTTTGTTACAGCAAACAATCATGGCATTTAATGGTACTTGGAAAGTAGAAAAGAGTGAAAATTATGAGAAATTCATGGAGGTGATGGGTAAGACCTACATTTCCTTTGTCTCCTATGGGAACATTCCTTCTCGCTACCATTGAGTTCAGCTGGTCTTTTTTATGTGTTAAGCTGCTGCTGTTGTCCATCTGTATATTTTTTGTTAAAAATTCCTTTGGGAAAGGATTACACAGGTAATTATGATTAAAGGTTAGAGCTGTCTATTCCTTTTTATTTCCTTTTTTAATAATGGTGTGGCAGAAATTCAAGAAGCCGAGAGACTGTGATAGGGGAAGTCTTGGCTAGCAGTAGGTTTGCTTGTCATGCAACTCGCTCTCCTAGCTTCAGGACTATCAAGTGCTTCATATCTGGAATGGTATAATGAAGAACACAGATATTCTTCCTGTGCTAGCCTTGCAGACTTGAGAAGGGGAGTACAATCTTTCATAAAATCCTATGGAAGAAAACATTACTGTTCCACCGGCCCTTAAAAGTATTCTTTCCCAGACTGCTGTTTAGACACTAATATTTCTTTCATTCTACCAGCTGGTGCCTTGCTTTCTCCTGCAGAACATACCAGGACTCTAGCCTACCCTAGTTTTCTCTCCAGTTTGTTGAACAATTTCATCCTGCTCCTTTAATTCAGGCAGGCATGTGTAATTTTTTCCAGTTGACTTCCCACCCCAGCACTCCCTACACTGCTATAAAGAATCGACCATGTCATGCCAAGTAATGTATACACAATTACTTTGTACATTACATTACTGACATCTTTTTCTCCTCTACACAAGAACTAGTTCATCTACTTTTGTAGTTGATTTATTCTAGTTAACACTTTTTCTTTGAACTAAATGAAGAGCTGGGCTGATTGGCAGAACATTAGTGGCTCAAAGAAATACCAGGATCAAGAAGACATTAGTGTATCCAATGTGTCTTACATTTAGTCTCTAGCTACGTGGAAAAAAGAGATAATTTGTAAACTGGCAAAGCATCCATGAACAACTGATGACAACTGGATGTAGAATTGCACTGAATTTTCAGATCTGAGAGCGGAATTGATTTTTTTCCTTTTCTTAAGCAGAACTCTGACCCTCTAGAAGCTAATTCTTCTTGTTTATTGAGAGCTGAAGATAAATAGGTAACTTTGTGTGTGGCTAAAATTTTGGCAGCTGAAGTAAAATCACATTGTGTGACTCAGGTAGTATAAAGGCTTCCCTTTTAGTTGATGGCTTGCTGTTTATATGACTTTTGTTGTAAAAACAGTAAACAAGAAGACTTGTTTTTTTTATACCCCACTTTCTCTACTTTAAGGAGTCTCAAAGTGGCTTACAATCAATTTCCCTTCCTCTCCCCACAACAGGCACCTTGTGAGATTGGTAGGTCTGAGAGAGTTCTGAGAGAATTGTGACTGGCCCAAGGTCACCCAGCAGGCTTCATGTGGAGGAGTGGGGAATCAAACCCAGTTCTCCGGGTTAGCGTCTGCCACTCTTAACTGCTACAAGCCCACCTAGTCTGGGACAGGCAAGCACTTACTAGACATGAGAAAACTATTTCAAAAAAGCCAATTGAAAGTCCAACTTGATCCTTCCATTAGTAAATATGCTTCCTCCAGGCTTTTTTTAAAAAAAGGGATTTCTGGCCCCGGTCACACGGCAAAGTTGCTGCGGGAAAGGCACAGATGGTGGGCAGATTATCTGGGTGCGATCACACCCCAACGTCTGGGAAGTGGAGCGCACCCGTGGTTTACCGCCGACAATGCACGTTAAAAAACTAGCACCTCCAAGGTACTAGTCAACGTTTGCCATGGGCTGCCTCCATACACCTGTGGTGTGATCGCGCCGGCGTGCGGCATTCCCCTCCGGTCCCTCGTTTACCCGCCGGCGCCAAGGGAAGGAACCATGGTGTGCTGCCAGCGCGTCTGATCGCGTAATCGTGGATCAAACTGTGCTGGGGCAATTAGCCATGCCTCCCCCCCCCCCGCGATATCCGACCCGTGTAGCCGGGGCCTCTGTTGTGTTTTTACTTACTATTTCCTTTTCTTCTTAGGTATCAGTTTAGTGAAGAGAAAGCTAGGAGCCCATGACAACCTGAAGCTCACTTTCCAACAAGAGGGCAACACATTCACTATCAAAGAATCAAGCAATTTCCGCACCGTAGAGATAGTGTTCACATTGGGAGTAGACTTTGACTACAGTTTAGCTGATGGAACTGAGCTCCATGTAAGAGACTTTCTTGTCTATGATGCTGTTATTTGGTAAAGCTGCTGACTGGATGCAAACTAATGCAACTCCTGTCAAGCTGCTTTCTATTTCAGTGGTTTCTAATAATAATATGTAAGCTCACTCTGTTTAGAGTTGTCACTGACATCTGTCTTTGAATTATAGGGTAACTGGATCATAGAAGATGGTAAACTTGTAGGCACGTTCAGAAGGAAAGATAATGGAAACGAACTTAAGGCTTTCAGAGAAATCATCGGAGATGAACTGGTTCAGGTGAGTTAATAAGCAAGTGGTGATAGGAAGTGGAGGATAAAGAAGCGGGGATAAGGAAGGGTAATGCTAAACTGAGAAAAGACATGGATCCTTTGCTGGCCATTTTACTTGCAAATAATCTCTCTCCTCTAAAACACTGACATTTCAAAATTTTATAAACTTCAACCTCCTTAAACACACCTCTGCTCATTACATCCAACAGTTCTGAAAGAACTCAAATGTGAACTTGTGGATGTCCTGACAAAATATGCAATCTATCACTAAAATCTGCTTCCATTGCTGAGGACTGGAAGGTCACTAATGTAACCCCCATCATTAAAAAAGGTTCCAGAGGAGATCTGACAAATTACAGGCCAGTTGGTCTAACATAGATATCGGGTAAGTTGGTGGAATTGGTTATTAAAGATAGAATTAGTAGGCACATTGATGAACAAAAGCTATTGAGGAAGAATAAGCATGTATTCTGTAAGGGGAGATCTTGTCTCACTAACCTTTTAGAGTTCTTTAAGGGGGTGAACAAGCATGTGGACAATGGTGACCCAATAGATGTTGTTTACCTAGACTTCCAGAAAGCTTTTGATAAAGTTCCTCATCAAAGGCTTCTAAGTAAACTCGGCAGTCATGGGATAGGAGGACAAGTCCTCTTGTGGATTAAAAACTGGTTAATTAACAGGAAACAAAGAGTGCATATAAATGGGCAGTTTTCACATTGGAAGATGGTAAGCAGTGGGGTACTACAGGGCTTGGTACTAGGTCTGGTGCTTTTTAACTTGTTCATTAATGATTTGGAGTTGGGAGTAAGCAGTGAAGTGGCTAAGTTTGCAGATGACAGTAAGTTGTTCAGGACTGTGAAAGTCAGGAAGGATTGTGAGGCACTCCAGAGGGATCTGTCATAGTTGGATGAGTGCGAGTCAACACAGCAAATGAGGTTCAATGTGGCAAGTTCAAAGTAATGCACATTGAAGCCACAAATCCCAAGTATACATAGATGTTGATGGGGTCTGAACTGGTGGTAACTAATCAGGAGAAAGATCTTGGAGTCATGGTAGATAACTTACTCAAAATGTCGACTCAGTGTGCGACTGCAATAAAAAAGGCAAATGCTATGCTATGGATTATTAGGAAGGGAATTTAAAACAAATCAGCCTGCATAAATCTATGGTGCAACCTCATTTGGAATTCTGTGTAAAGTTCTGGTCACTGCACCATAAAAATGGTATTATAGTATTGGAAAAAGTGCAAAAAAGGGCAACTAAAATGATTAAGGGGACGGAACACTTTCCCTATGATGAAAGGTTAAAGAGATTAGGGCTCTTTAGCTTGGAGAAACGACAACTGTGGGATGACATGACAGAGGTTTACAAAATTATGCATGGGATAGAGAAGGTAGAAAAACAAGTTGGCTTTAGCAAAGTGGTATGTAAATTCAGCCTACAGTACTGTAAAAGCACCATTAACATTTCAACTAGCCCTGCGGCTGAATAAGCTTCTTTACACCTCAACTAGGGTTTCTTAAACTGTATCACAGAAGATACTCTAAAGCTGCAATTCTACACATGCTAGCTTGGGAGTAAGCCCTCCTGACTGAAGTAAATATTCTTAGGATCACACTGTACACAGTTGTGGCATGGGAGCTATTTCTGCAGTGTCACAGTAATACCTTAAAGAACCACCACATAAATTGGGTGAACCATGGGACCTGGATCAGGTTGAAGATCTCACACTGCAACAAAATGAATGAAGCCTTAGTTACGTATATGTGGGGAACATTATATTTTGTACAAAACAGAATATAAGGAAGGGAAACCATACTAGGATATTTTAGTCCATGAATTCATGAGGCCAAGAGTGCCCTTTAGTTTTTGTATTTGTCCTGCTCCACACACACATTCAACATATCTGTTATGATAGACTTAAAAGTAGTCATATGGTCTGTTTATTCTCTCCCCTCCACATGCAAATACATGCAAACTAGACAGCTTTTTAATCTCTTGTATAACATAAACCTGCCTTATACTGAGTCAGGACATTTGTCTATTGAAGTCAGTATTATCTACTTGGTTTGGCAGCAGCTCTTCACAGTCTCATGCACAGATGTTTTACATCACCTACTATCTTGTCACTTTAACTGGAGATGTCAGGGTTTGAAGCAGAGACCTTCTGCAGTCAAAGCTTGTGATCTGCCTCTGAGGCACACTGTCCCACCAAAAATACTTTACTGAGGTCCTACACATCTCTTCAGAAATAAATCCCTTCAAATCAGTGTTCCTTGCCCCTTGGCATTTAGTCACGCCGGCCACATAACCTCGGACAAGTCTTTGGACAGCACTGGCTCTTCGGCTTGGAAACGGAGATGAGCACCGCCCCCTAGAGTCAGATTCGACTGGCTTTCGAGCAAGGGAAACATATAGTGAGCTTACGTCCAATAGGTGCATTTTGGATTGCAGTTCTCATGGACCACCACAGCTGTACTGTTGGATTAAGTAACTTTTTAAATTTGCAAACACAACCTATTTCTGGTCAAAATGCATCTGATGTTAAATTGGGTTCAGTGCCTATAAATATTTGTGCTGTAATAAAGTAGTTGGCCTAAGGTGCTAGAATACACTTTATGCATTTAACTCTAAATAAGATCACACTTCAAGTATTTTGGACAGCTCGGCTGAAAGTGTTCCCTCATGGCACCTATATTGGAAAGCAAGTACATTAGAATGCCACATACGAAATCAAAGGCAGCAACTTCAAGGATGCTTAAAACTTACTAGCTTTCAGTTCTCTTAAATAGCATTCTTAATACTATTTAATTGTAGTGTGGATAGCCAAGTATTTATGAAAACTGGGATGTAGCAAGTCCTGAAGATCAACTGAGATGTGTACACCATTGTGTGAAAAGACAGATACTCATGTGATCAGTTTGTTTCCTTAGAAAGATTCTTCCTTCTCTGACAAACACAGGAAGATAAGTAGTCCATGTTTGTGTGTGTTTTAATGGCTTGTAGTTTTACATGTGGTTTTTAATTGTAAACTGCCTCAAGCAGGACTCTGAACTGAACAGGTGATGTAGAAATATTCTAAAAAATAATCCCAGGGAAGAGAAACCTCCTTAACTGAAACATATTAGAGCTCAGTGACGTTCTGACATGCCTTTTTTTTTTTGGTGCTTCACTTTTTAGACTTACATCTATGAAGGTGTCTCAGCTAAGAGAATCTTCAAGAAAGCTTGAACAGGATTGAAATATGATGTGGACGAATTACTGTACATATGGCAACTGCAAACACATATTAACTGTACAACTAAGACCTATTTATCTTCTGTCCCATGTCTATTTAGATAATAGTGTTACTAAGAGCTATAAAGAATAGTAGCCTTCATAATGAAAATAAACAAACATGGTTTCTACACTGCTTTTCAGAAGGCTTATTTGTTTTTATTGCTATTGTGCCTTATGTATGCAGTAGATACTGAATTGTGAATTGAATGCCCCACCTTTTAAATAATTTTGCCACTTTCATACAATACTGTTTCACATCTGTTCTCTCACCTTGATTTGTGGAAAGTTCCAGAAGCAACATTACTCACACAAGCTTGTCCAAACAAATTAACAAGGTCATACAGATTTATATTTTAGGTAGCATTATCCCAACATCTTGACAAGGCATCAGCTACTATGTTATTCATTCCAGAGATATGAAAGTTTTCAAATTCAAAATCTTGTAAGCTCAAAACCCACCTTAAAATTCTTGCATTGGTCTTCTTCACCCTATACAAGAAGACCAATGGGTTGTGGTCTGTTTGAAGCTGAAAACAAGACCACACAAGTAAGACTTCAATTTTATGGGGATGGTCACAAACCGCTTGACAAGCCAAAGTTTGGGTCCAATTTTGCCCAGTGCGAGGCTCGCAAGCCATGACTTGGGGATCACGTGTTCTTTGGAAAAAACTACGAGCTTTTGGGTGTGGCTTGGAAACCAGAAAACTCTGAGAAAGTTTGTAGCAAAAATGCTAGGTAATGGTGGAAGTGGTGACATTTTCCAGCCTTGGAAACAAGGATTAGGGACCCTGAAATCTTGGCAGGCCAGTAACAGAGTTCCCTTATCATTGCTCGCAACAGGAGGGGGCAATTAGGGGTGTGTGCTCAGTATAGTATCCAAAAGGTGCCCCCAGGCACCCCCTCTAACATCCAGAGGTCCACTTCCCGACACCCCCCTTTGCTGCTGCCATGAACAAGCCCCCCCTTTCACCTTCAGCCCTCTGCAAAAGCACCTTCCCATTATCTGCCTGAACAGCTTAGTATAGTCAGGTGGATGAAGGACAGGGACATTAAATAGCTTCTCCTTTAGAATTTCAAAGGCCTGCTGACAGTCTCGACCATTTAACACGTACAGGCAACTTCTTTCTACACAGATCACTTAAAGGCGTAGCTATCTGGCTAAAATTTTGTATAAACCCACTATAGTAATAGCAGCCCCCTAAAAAAGACTATACCTGTCTTTTAGTCACAAGGACAGGCCATTCTTTAATGGCTACTATCTTCACCTGATGAGGCTTGATAGCTCCACTACCTATCTGATGTCCCAGATAAACAACCATAGGATTTGCAAACTGACGTTTCTATGCCATGATGGTTAAGCCAGCATTCCTTAACTTTTGCAGCACCGTAACTAGATGTCACAGGTATTCTTCCCAAGTATTGCTACAAATTATGACATCATCTTGGTAACTACTTGAGAATTCCAGGCCCCTTAGGACCTCATCCATTAGTCTCTGAAAAGTGGGGCTGGCAGAACTTATTCCAAAATGCAAGATCTTAAACCTACCTAAACTGTCCTAAGTGGTACATAAACAATGTCTTTTGTGATGCACTCTGCTAATATATGTTGTTCCTCCCAATCTGTCAATCAATTCATCTATGTGTGGTGAAGGATAAGCATCTTGGATCGCATACTTATTCAATTTTCTAAAATCCACACACAATCAGTACTAAGGGGGATTATCATCACAAACTCTTTTCTTTTGAACAAACACCAGGTTACTGCTCCACTCAGAAGAGTGAGCGGTTATCACTCCCATTTTCAACACCTTTTGCATTTCATCCTCCACTACCTTTCTCAATGGCTAACTGAATACAAAAGGGATCTCACTGGGGCTGCTGTCCCCATGTCAATATTTTTTATTTATATTTATTTATTCGATTTGTTATCCCGCTCTAACCCCTAAGGGTCTCTGGTCGGCTTACAGGGAGTGCTAATCACATTACCGAATCTAACCTAGGGCCACAGATATACAGGGGTAGTGACAACCCTACCAGGAACCCTTGTTGCGGTGGATCCCGGTTGTTGTCTTGTTCCTGTGGTGGTAGTCAGTGGCTTCCTTTCCTGGTGCTGGTCTTCGCAGTTTCCTTATTCCAGCTGTAGCGATTCATTTCCGGCCAGGACCAATTGCACTTCCGCGCATGCTCCGCTTGCAGCCTCTGTCCTGATGGGGCTCCGGCCTGCCGCGCTGCTCCGCCTCTGTGCCAGTTGGTCCGGCCCCTTCACTCGCTCGCTCCTTGCCTTGCAACGCTGCTGACGACGATTGCCCCTTCACCTCGCCGCTCGCTCGCCGCTGCATCACAGGGACGGGTGCCCCCCCGCTCTAGTAACAGGTACCCATTAGTCTAATCCCCCTTTAATGGGCTTTCGAGCCACTGGGTGGGCGGGAGCTGGGACATAGGGCCGGGTACTCCCCCCGGCTGCAGTGGGGCTCGAACAGCCGAAGCTGTTCGGCCAGATGTACGTGCAGGCATCTCTTACCGCCTGCGCCACCGCTCCCCCTTATGAGTTATCAATGGAGTTCTGCCTGTTGTTGAGGGATTAAGGTAGAACTAACTTGTTGTTGAGGGATTAAGGTAGAACTAACTTGGGCCTCACCAATTTGCCTCAGTCAACCCTTCAATTAAATGAGGCATAGAACATTCCTCTTCCACCTAATTAATGAGCAGGAAACATGCCAGGCTCCCTTTGAACAAATTTCTTTAAACAATCAGTGAGCACAACAGGATTTCCCCCATCTTCTACATCTTTGATGGCATTAATTGTCATTACCACACCTTTCCACAACAACATAGGCTCCCTGCCAAGCTATTTCCAGTTGTCCCTACATGTTCTGATTCTAACCACAACACTTGATCTCCTAGTTACAACTCCCAGGACTTGGCATTAGGATCATAATATACCTTCTACCTCTCCCTTGCTGTGATCAAAGCACAGCTCAAACCTGTTCCATTGTCTCCTGCAGCTTGGCAAAATATTCAGCCACAGTCTGTGGACAACACTGGGCCCACATGCCTTCCCAGCTGGCACACAGCAACACAAGCAGCCCTTTAATTTGGTATCCAAACAATTCATTAGGAGGCAACCCTCCCAAGGAGGGAGGCACTGCATCATGATATGCTGCTAACAAAAAGGGCAAACCTTCATCCCGGCTCTTATCATTTTGGAGAAAATAGGCTTAAATAATTCTTGTCAAGGAAACCCCCCCAATCTTTTCTACTTGATCACATGACGGAGGATGATAGGCTATACTCAAAGCCTGTGTAATTCCAGCAGTCTCATATAACTTTTGTGTTAGCCAGCTGGTAAAACTTTCCCCCCAATCAGAAAGGATTGTGTCTGGCCAGCCATAGATGGAACACACCTCCAACAAAGCCCTAGTCACATATGTTGCTGTTATTGACCTTAAAGCCATTGCCACTGAATAACACATGGCTCTATCTATCATCACCAATACAAACTTTCTACCAAGGGCTTGAAATGACACTTGAATATCATCTATTAACTTAGAAAAAGGCTTGGCTGTAAGTGGCATCAATCTCAGAGCAGCCCTGTCACCAGAAAATCGTCTGGGGGGGGGGCAAAGACTGGGAGCAGCAGGCTTAATTGTTGTTCTTGTTGTTCAGTTGCACAGTTGAGCCGGACTCTTCGTGACCCCATGGACCACATCACACCAGGCCCTCCTGTCTTCTGCCATCCTCCAGAGTTTGCTTAATTTCATGTTCGTTGTATCGATAACACTGTCTAACCATCTCATCCTTTGCCGTCCCCTTCTTCTTTTACCTTCAGTCTTTCCCGGCATCAGGGTCTTCTCCAGTAAGTGCTTAATTAGATAAGTACTTAACTAGATAACCACTAAATAGACTTGGGGGCTCCTTCTGCGTTTCCCCTTCGTGGCTGAGGTCCTTTCTGCTGCAGTCCTGCTTGCTTGCTCACTCCTCCTCTAGCCTTGGGAGGAGGATCAAGAGATGAGGGGGCAGGGCAAATTCAGGAGGGAGCACTGCCCCAAGGACCCTCCATGGCCACAGGTCCACCTCAGGGCACTTTACAATAACCTCCCACATAGCCAACCTTCCAATAGATTTCACAACTCAGCACATGTTTCTAGACATCCTCAAGAACATCACTCCAATAAAAGTTTACGGATTTTAGCTAAAGTCCTCTTAAAGCCTAAATGTCCAGACAAGCTGATAAACTCATGGAAAAGGAGTTCCCCTTTCCAAAAGCACTGAGCCAGACTGCTCTGTCTGAGCCTTACCTGCCTTAGCTCAACACTTAGAGTATCACGATTCCTTTGAGCCACTTTGAACTCACTGGTAATCAAAGCACTAACATTAGCCCTGACCTGGATAGCCCAGGCAAGCCCAATCTTGCCAGATCTTGGAAGCTAAGCAGAGTCGACTCTGGCAAGTACTTGGATGGGAGACTGCCTTAAAATACCAGGGGGGGGGAGGGGGCAGGCTTTATTCAGTTACCTCTCTGAATATCCTGCAGGCCCCCAGTTACCAGAGGTCAGTTACCAGAGGTCACCATGACTGCCAGGTGCACACAGTCACATGCACACACACACAATACAACCCCCAAAAGCATTAACATTGTCCAGAGATGCAAACATTGAGATTGTAAAACTGTCAGCCTGCAGTGAATTTTCCTCTTCCCTTGTTGCCTTCCCAAAATTTGTTTCAACAACTTTTTTTTTTTGACCCACCAAAGGGGAATTTTTAAATTGCATTTTCTAAAAACTACAAAGAAACATAGGAAGGTAACTACAAACTACAGGAGAAAGAAAAGAGAACCACTAAAAACCCAAGAGATGGAGGTCATATATTGTTTATACATAAATGTTAGCTTAACAATAAAAAGTTATTTTTCTTTAACATTGTGAGTAGTCAATCATCATCACTTAAGTAAACAGACCAACAAATCTGACCAAATAAAGAGCTGTCCAGGAGAATAAATGGATAACATATAAGCAAACTTCAGAAAACAAGGGCATCTCAT